AAGGGACAGGAAAGTTCCAGAAAGCAGAGGGCGTGAGAATAGTCACGTGATCTCGCTGACGCAACAGAAATTTCATGGTTGTTGTAAATAAATCTGAGTTACAATTGACAACAAACCTAGGAAAATGTTAATCGCATCTTATTTATACGGTTAGAAAGTAAATACAAGACAGGTAGTAAATCAATTTTAATCTGGCCGCAGACTTGTAAAACTATCTTTTCTAAAGAAAACATCATAATTTTGGTTAAGAACTGCTAGACTTAGTTTAACTGTACGTCACACAACTCTTAAAATAAACCTCTTCAGAGGCTCGTAAAGATAGCTTCGGTGGATAAAAGGACAGTAGTTTCTGTTAAGAACTGATAGACTTAGTTTAACTGTACATCACAAACGTTTAACATGAACCTCTTCACAGGCTCGTAAAGATAGCTTCGGTGTATAAAAGGACAGTAGTTTCTGTTAAGAACTGATAGACTTACTTTAATTATGCATCCAGTTTAAGTTAATTTTTGCAGGAGTCACAGTTCGGTCCAGATTTTTTCCCAGTTAGATGGATTATTAATGTCTACTGGGAGATTTGGATTTTTTTATTTAAAACAAATTTAAGTTAATCTTTGTTAATCTTTATTAAAAGCAAGTTTAAGCTACTTTCTGCACTAGTTACAGATCAAGCCAGATAATTTTCCTCATTCTTCAGAATAATAACGTCTACCGAAAGACTGAGTTTGTTTTTTGTAAGGCAAGTTTAAACATTGCTGGAGATGCAAGAAGAACCAGATAGCTGGTGTTGTTCAGCAAAATTCTTTAATAACTATGATGTTGGTACTGATTAGCTATCTGATGTTATTAAGTATAGTTTTATTAATGACTATCACGTTGGTACTGATTAGCTATCTGGTATTATTAAGAAAGGTTTCAGTAATGACTATGTAGTTGCCATGATTTACTATCTCATTTTTTGATATGTAGAATATTAATTTGGAGAATGTTGAGTAAATTTATGAAAATTTTCGGCTAATTTCATATAAGTTTGGGCGTTCATATATTGTAGTCTATATTTCTTTCAGAGAAACCTTATTTTTGAAGTGGTAGTGTGGTTTTTGAGCTATGGCATTAAGCAGTTCTTTCAGTATTAATTTTAAAAAAATATAATTATTCATTATAGTGATCTCATAATATGGATTTTCACTGTCTCTTGTTACCTCATTATATCGGTTGATTTTATTTTTTATCTGACCAAGTATTACCATAAGACTGTACTTTTGTGTTCAAAAGCAAATCGAAAGAGGAAAACTAGGCCTCTTATACAAAAACAAAATTTACAGCAGGAATTTAGGTTTAAAAAATCTTTCAAGCCTCAAAGGATTTGGGGGCCTGAAAAACAATCCAGGGTGGTCAGAAACCTTTGTTTCTCTTCACCACACGCGGTGAAAAAGTTAATCCCAAACGAATTTTGGTAGAGCCATTGGGCTTAATGTAATTTCACAAGGAGTGTGGATTGTTGAGGGACGCGTGAAGGCGAGGAAGATCAACAACAACATACGCGTTATTTCATTCCGATCCCGGGGGATACGGCGGGCCAGTAGAAAGTTACGCCCTCTCGTCGGCCTAGCGACCAAGACAGAAAATAAGAGGTGGGTAAATGAGCAAAGTCTGCAATGGAGGTTGAAATGGGGAATTGAAGTATCGTGATATGGACAAGGAGAGGATACAATCTAGAGAAATTAGGTGTACACAGTTCAGGCTATTTCACGCAATTTGTGGGAACTGGCAATGGAGTATTAGGACTGAGGATATATAAAAGGGGGAAGAGGGGACATCGGCACCTCAACGTGATCGTGATTGTCGGTTGGGAGGGACATAACATAAAGGTTCAGTAGATGATCGACTAGTGCCAAAATGCGTCTTGGGGTATGAACTGTGGTGGCGTGAATGTCGGAGAAGATGACATTTTGGTCATGAAAGCATTTATTGACATTACGAGTGCGAAGATAACAAATGTGAGGAAAGGTGAGAAGGCTATACAATTCTGTAGTGAGACTCGGGAGTTTAATACGAAAAGCAAACCGGAGGGCATGGCGCTCCAAAAGCTGAAGGCGAGAGAAGATGGCCAAAGAGGCGGAAATCCAGGCTATATGGCCATAGATGAAGCAGGGTCTAATGGCGGTCTTATAGGTGTACAGCAGAAGAGGAGGATTCAGGCTCCAGAAGGTACCAATGAGAGAATAAAGTAGATGAAGACGGCGAGAAACCTTAACAGAGAGGGCAGATAGGTGTGGTTTCCAGATAAGATGCCTCTCAAAGACAATGCCAAGATAGGTCACCGAGTCAGAAAGGTGGATGGGGACATTGTCGATATGGACGTCAAACAGAGACGAGTCACGGCAAGGGCAGAACTTACGTCGTGTCGGGCCATAAAGAATACCTCTAGTCTTAGGGACATTGAGGCATAAGCACCAGCATCGACACCAATATAAAAACGAATTTACAGCAGCCTGGAGCAGCTTATTCAGGGTGGACATAGTGGTACAGTGGCCCACCAATGCAGTGTCATCAGCATATTGAAACATCTGATGAGGGGGCCAGGGGCAAATAATATCAGTGACATAGAGAATGTACAGAATAGGGGAAAACATGGAACTTTGAAGTACTCCGGTATAGAGCGTGAAAGAGCGAGAGAGAACCTCATCAATAAAATTAAGGCTCGCCGAAGATGGAGAAAAGAAGAGATTAAACGAAGATAGGGAACAGGATAGTGTAACATATGCAATTCGTGGAGTAAACCTTGATGCTAAACAGAGTCAGAAGTACGCTAGAAATCAAATAGTAGCATGCAGGAGGTTCTGCATATGGTAAAGTGATTGGTAAGTAAGTCAAACAATTTGAGAAGTTGATCCAAGGTAGAAAGATGTGGACAAAACCCATCTTGCGCATGTGGCAGCAGGTTGTGTCCAGCAATGAATTGATGAAAGCCAGCAACGAGGATGCATTCGAAAGTCTTACTGAAAACAATAGTGAGACTAATAGGGTGGTAAGAGTTAACAACACGAGTAGGTTTACCTGGTTTCAAGAAAAGAAGAATAGTGGAATTCCAGGACCCAGGAAAAATCCCGAGGAAAGAACAAAGGTGCAGTACAAGACAATAAGACGAAGGTATTGCATAGGGTATGACGGGGTTGGCAGTAAGGTACGCCATCAGGACAAGGGGCAGAATTACATCTGTTCTGGGGGACTCAACGGACAACAGATGCAGTAATGGAGGCATGTAAACAATCATCGACCAGAACATCGGAAGAACTAGGAGTAAGGTCGATGGAGGTAATGGTCGAGTTCATGGGGTAGTAGTGTCAGTGTAATCAAGGATATGACGTTCTGGTTCCTGAAACTTCTGTTTGTGAAAAGCAGAAAAATGATTGGCCTTGTCCAATGATGTAAGAGGATCAGCACCATTGATAAGAATAGGATAGGAAGAAGAGCATCACTGACTTGTAAGGAGCTTAAAACGATTCCAGAATTGTGAGGAAGAAGACAAACAACTAAAATCAGTACAAGCCCGGCGCCACTGACGACGTTGGACTGCCCGAAAAAGTTATGGGCAGTATACGTTGGAGACCCCTGTATTGTTACAGCAAAAGAGATTCGTGAGATCGACTGTAGTCACACAATAAGGAGGAAGAGTGGTGTAACAGTTCTACTGCTCTCAGAGGTAATGCTGGCTTATGGGAAGCTGAAGAGGAAGTTGGTATGTGTAATGTACTGGCATCGGAGATGAGAGTAGTGAGGAAAGTGTCGAACGAGTCGACATCTTCAAGCATAGTAAGAGGTCGATTCGAGTCTGGTATGACACTGGCAATGTGTGAAGCATAGGAGTCCCAGTCTGCAGATCGAAAATTGAAAAGAGTCCATCGAGAAGCACAGGGAACAGACAATGACAGCAAATGGACACAAATTTTGATGGAGAAATTATCACTATCAACAGGAGGACACTTGTGGAGAGTGATAAGAGGAACCAGGTTGGGAAAAGAAAGACGACATCTGGCGAAGATTGAGAAACCAGACGACCTGGGGCAGG